CCCAGAGTGACCAATAGCAGCAGCTCTAAAATGTCCAGTTATATGAGGCAGGTTGTTGTGTTGTTGTGTTATTCAGATGAAAATTAGAGATATTCCCAACTCCACTACTCCTGACCTCCCACCCCCTCAACCCTCACTGACCACTGTTGATTTGTTTCCACAATTTATGGGCCCTGCAAACACAGAGTTCATAAGCTGTAAACAGTTGAAAACTGTCCAGAATTAGTAAAGTTTGCAGGCGCTCACGTGGACTAAAATCTGGTTTAAGCTGATGGGTTCTTGCTGTTGTTGTGCCTTCAGTTTACACTGCAGATGTGAGCGATCACAGTGGTTCAGGACCTACTGTGTCTGCTGTTAAGGAGCGTGCATCAGCTATGTTTACGTGATTAAGGCAGTGATGTAAGTGAGTTGGAGCCCAAGAAGACACTGTGTCCTGATTATGTTTGGTCATAATCAGAGGAAGCATAATCATATTCAGATATGAGGACTACTGTTGAAGGACAATATAGGACACGGTCTAACTCTGACTCCATTGGACTTTTCACTGTCATTATTTCTAAATGCTCTCTTGGCTACAATCTACAGAAAAATACATTTTGCTGACGAAATAAATCCACTCTTCATACCAATCATAAATTTAAATTTAGAGTCAGCAAGCATTAGTTTTTGCTTTTTTGTGTTATAATATTAACCACTACTTAAGTCTTTTGGTATAAAATAAACCATAAAATGAGTCTTAACGTGACATGTCATATACAGTACAACACCCGCTTCCTCCTAGTTCCACCTTCTTCCCATAGATGTAAAGGGGTGTGATATCAATAAGAAAAGTGTTAGACAGTCTGTTTGTTTGAGCTCTGACTTTCTTTTTGTTTACTTACAGTAGCCTCATGGGACATAACTCTGTATTACCACAATATTAGCCATGGCCAGCTCCACTGGTCCAGTTTAACAGATGATTATAATAAGTAACATATCATGTATCATATTATATAATATGTATTTTCTAGCTGGAGTCAAAGATCAGTGCACCAAACTAGAAAACAACATTCTTCATGTGCATGCAGAAGCCCTCAGTGCCTGTAGTCCCACCAAGGTAAATAATCACCAGCCACTACTGGTTGACACAGAAACTGAGATCCGGGAAGATGCTGGAATGGCCAAACTGTGCTAAGGGTTTAGTGAATTGAAACTTCTGCTGGATGTTATTACTCAGCTGTGTCTTGTCCTACTAGCCCTCATTCTCTGTTCTCTTCCTCCTTCTTGGTTCTCAGACTCTTCATCATATTTTGCTTTTACAAACTGTTGAAGCAGACCAGGGAAAAAGGTTTGATATTAGGAAGAAAATGAGCCTCCTTCCTACATGAGGAAGAACTCCTACTGTAGTGTTATCTGCCCTCAGCTGGACACCGGCAGTAAATCTAAATTAACTAGCAGCTCTTTGGGGGTCAACCAGGGGCTAGCTCATTTTGATTAATTAAAGACCGGAGGAAGAGTCTGGAGGAGTGGGTGGGGTAAAACAAGACATGGAGAGATGTACAATATATATATACACAGATGGACAGTCAGTATAACAGCAGAGACAATGTATGGAACAAGTGGAAAGTGGAAATGGAAGTGAGTGCTGTGTTATCAGGGGAGGAGAGCTGGAGGGAGATGTAGTATGACCTGTCGTTCAAAGGGCTCACTATGGTCTCCCACACACACACACACACGCAGGGGGGAGCCTGAATACACAGTCACAGTTATATATCAACGACTTTAGATAAGTAGATAAAGACATTACACAACACTAAAGAGTATTCACACATAAACACACATGAAAATACAAAGGTGTGACACAGGCCACAGGTCTCCATGCTGTCATTTCTCTCAGCAGCTGTAACTGCACAAGTCCTGAAGTCCACTCATCCAGTAGAAGACATTCAAGTGGAGAAATATCAACATTCAGTTTAGATAATTGAATGTATCATTTTAAAACTGAAGTGAATAATTACTGTACTAATAACTTGTTCATATAATATAATATGAATTCTCTACAATTAACTATGTGAGATGTCTATTGGTTCTATGTTTGCTTCTGATATCCTTTTATATGTTGCCACTGACATTGTGCTGAGATAATGACATTTTGAGGGGAACTGCTTCAGTTTGAAATATTACTGTAAACTTTCACTTGTCCAAGACTTTTATCTTGAATCAAATAATAAAAACCAAAGTCTTTTCCCCTAAAAGTTTTTATAGATATTTACAGTTCCCAGGTCTGCTAATGTTTCTACTTGACCTCTCTCCTCTACATAGTCCCACAGTCAGTCATAATTTCCAGTTACATTTAATAAATATCAAAATATAAAGTAATTAAATGCACTGAGCACACTAACACTCCCCAGATGATGAAAGGTTTGATGTTTTATTTTGTGCTTCCTTCAAGAAAAAATGTCAACTCTGCAGACAAATCTTCTAACAGAAGGAAACCTATTAGATGAAATTTACCATTTTGTCCCTTCAAGGGGAAAGGCTCTAGAAAAGCCAGAATATGAAAGTGGACGGCATGATGAACCGCAAAAGCATTAATTAACTTGAATTTCTCCTCCATAGATAAGTAAACAACAATATACAGTATGTACAAATGAAAAGAGATGTGTAACACTCTAAACAAAGCAGGTAAGTGAGAAACCCCATATTTTAACTGGCATAATGCAGACATAGTAACTTCTCCAGCCTTACAACAATTCTCTCTAATGTTAGAGAAACAAGGCATTAACAGACATGCAATGTGTGTTTTGTTAAACTTATCGTTAAGTCCCACTGAGTAGTGGAAACATCACTCCCTTTCAAGTAGCTCCAAGGACAGTAAATCCTACCAGTGATCACTGCATCTTCCCCCACACATACCTTGCATTACAGGCGACCACATTCCCAGGTAGTGTGGCACCGACAATAACATCATGGATCATTAGAATCCTCTCACCAACCAGCACATGTGGCAGACACACTGGCCTCAAACAGTCAAAACAAGCAGGTACTGTGCTCTGAGGGAATCCAGCATTAATGAGCTGATCATGCACCACTGTGGGGGCTTCACAGGCTGGATGCTTGTAGGTTAGACACCATCAGGTAAAACAGCGAGTCCCTGTACAGGAACATTCCCAGACATGCAGTAACCTCAGACCCTGTATTTTTCTCCACATCCTCTGGTCACAGTGCAGCAGCAGGAGGAGGGAAAATACTGTATATTCACAAAACCACGTGCAGTCAAAAAAATTTAAAATGGCACCGGTGGACATCAGGCAAGCTCACATAAACGCACAACTGCCTGGAGATTTTGACCATTTGAGGAAATCCTTAAACTATCAATTTTTTTTTAGAAAAAAAGGACTTTTATAAACCGAGTTGCTTCTGTTATGGTTTAGTCCCCCTCACCAGGAGGGTGAGGGAGAACTGGGGTTGGACTCAAGATGGCTGACCCAGGTGCTAGTACAAAAAAGGTGGTTTAATGGAATAAAAACAACAAAGTGACAACATAACAGGGTCCATAATACATACAACCAGGGAAGGGCAGTGATGACTAAGGAGACCAGGACGGTAAACACACAAACTAACGACAGGAACTAGGATAGCAGGAGGATGAGAACAGACAGGTGAACAAAAAGAACCAACGTAAACAATGCAATCCACAGCACAGAGACTGTCAGCGTGGAAGACAAAGCACGTATTTCAGTATTGCTAACCGCATAATTAGCATGATAAGGTCAAGCCAAAACGCACAGAGACTGTCAGCGTAGCATCTTACACACGTCTAAAAATGCGGGTCAAACATAAACTTTTAACTTACATACGGTAAGTATTGTCCATTACATATCACAATCCTCTGGCAACAACAGGGCGTCTGCCAGAGGTATAAATAAGGAAGCCAACAAATCACCGGAATACGCCTCAGGTGTGCGCACCGACCCACAAGTCACTAATTACCCGATGCGACACAGCTGAGGCGTTGATCCCGCAAAAAGGGAGAGCAGGAGAGGGAAAAAGAAAGAGAGGCAGGTCGCGCCGAGCGGACCTGACAACTTCTGCAAAGCGGTACTAGAACATACTGTATGTGCTACTCATTTTTTTTAACTTTCAGTCACGTCTAAGCTGATAATTCACCATTGTAACATTGTAGATAAGTAGGAAAACAAGGAAAAAGCATGTCATGGGCTCTTTAATGTAGGATTACTGTATTTTGTGCAAGTAAACATCTTCTTGTCCATGCTTAACATGCTTATTTTTGTGCATAGGTCTGTCTTGATGATCACTGAGATCTTGATAACAATGACATTACCTGTGTAAATATAGGAATAAATAAAATTTAATGTAACAAAATGCTTCGTTACCTTTAAAAGCCTTGGAGCATCAGAAATGCTCCAATATGTCAAATGTTTTTGTACATCTTCCAAACTATTTGAAAACTATAAACTATTTCATTTTTTGTTTGCAAAAAACCTCCAGTTAAAATAGGTACAGCATATGTGCTGCTTTCATTGTATGTCTTTGAATTTACACAGCAGTAAAGCTGCAGCCTCGAAGCTAAACAATGAGGTGAAACTCGCTAAAAATCTCAGTAAAGGAGAGCTGCAGATTCTGGTGATAATTCTCTGTATAGTCATCACTACAAGTGACTCTGTTGACAGTTTTACAATGTTTTCACATTGTCATTTGTTATATTATTAGTATCAAAATATCAATAATAGCTACTTTAACAACCATTTTACTTTTTGGACAGAGGTTTGCTAGTTACTACACAAGTTTATGATCAAAAAATACAAGTGAACAACCATGGTGAAACTTTCACTCATGCACCATGTTGACAGCTTATAAATGTGATCCAGCAGTTTTGTGGGAGCCTCACATGCGGCTGTTAAGCAGCTTAGGAGAGTAACCCCTAACCATTAAACCATTATTCATATGATAAAAAAAATGTTGATTTGAATGGAAAAAATTGAGACGTCTTTACTTACCTGGAAGGCATTAAAAGCAATGAATACATAGGCCACTATCACAGACAGATGGACCAGCACTCCACACAGCCAGGTCAGACCCAGCACCGGCAGCAGAATGAGAACTGGACGGGTCACAGCCCTGCAAATACACAGAATGCGCAATGAGCAAACCAAAATGCACATACAGAATGTGTGTTAATTACATTCACATACTCTCAAATATAGATGCATGAGAATGACAAACAGAAAAACAACTTCACACAGTGTTGTGGCACCATTTGTCTCCTGAGTACTATACATGAGTATAGACAGACAGAAGGACCCAGCAAAGTGGAGTTTTCAAGGTATTTTGATGACATTTTCTTCACGAATAGTTCCTCCTTGAATTCTCATCACACAACTCTGCACAGCTATAGACTTTACCGCCTACCACAGTTGTACTCCTGTTCCTTTGCAATCATCCTTTCAGTGATACTGGTGCTTACACTGTACGGCCAATAACCATTTCATGGGGCATGGCAGAAAAGGTTGCCTTTGTTCAAACCACTATTGTTGTCACACTGCTGCACCTGGGTAGAGAGATTGAGTTTTCAGGCTGCACTGTGTCTGCAAGGACAAAGACAGCACTCACTTCCCTCTCTTTCTTTTTATTTTTGAAAGTCGTTTTCCCTGTAATCTCCTGAATTCACATAACACTCAAGCTGGCACAGACATCTACTTTCAGTCTGTTTGTGAGGGAATGAAGAGACAGATCAAGAGGGGGAATGGCGCTGTGGCAATTTAATCAGGCTAAGACAAATGGGCAAAATGAAAAAACCGAACTGAGAAGAGCTACTGCTATGCTGAGCTGAAGGACTTTTATCTGAATATGAAAAGAGGTCCTAGTTTCCCCTCAGCCATTAGATACATTAGTAATGCTTACTAATTCTAGTGTTCTGACCTGTGTATTAACCTCTGAAAAAGCACATAATAACTGACACCAGAATGTCCCAAATACACAGTGCACATACAGTAGATGTTTCATAGTCCATTTATGTATAATCCTCACATTCTGTATCAATACAATATAAAAAAGATTTAAATGATGTTATGCTGGACATGTATCATCAGTGTGAATATGTTATCCACACAAAAAGTTATTTAATACACTAAAGGAGAGTTTACCTACTGTAAAAACAAACCTAATTTGTTACTTTAGTTACAGTTGTCACTCTAGTGGTTTCATTTATCCAGGCTTCAAAAAATATCTGTCTTGAGATTTTCGCCTCCACCCAAATACAATGCAGATGAAGGGGGTTTCAGAAATCATTTATTGCCAGCACCACTGGTAGTATTTGTTGGTGTGCAAACTTGCATACATACTTTAAGTGTAGTATAGTAGAATTATTAGAAATATTTATACTATCATCCTGTAAGCATAGCAACATTAACAGACCTGACACAATAAAAGGTAAATTTCAGTCGCAGGCTCACAGTCATATCATACATATGTAAAGTTAAAGCAGAGTGGCTGTAATAGTAATGGAACATTTTGTAATAACAAAACAGATAGGTCACTTAACATCAATCTGGTACTATCTAAAAGATAATACTGGTGACATTGCATCATTTCCTTACTGTCAACAAATTGTCTGAAAAGACCAAAGCAGCCATGAATTGATCCCACTAAAAGGTGCCGTGTCCAGGACGTGATATACTGTATCTTAGTCCTTTGTGCTATAGAGCACCAGCACAACAGTGAGCTACACGGTTTTGCTGTTTCCTTCATTACTACAAACACACATACTGTAGTTTATTCTGACTGCTGCACACCTACACTGTGCTGCTGTCACAAATGCTCACTAGAATATTTGGCAAATGTGATTTGTGATATTGGGCTATACAGAATTAACACAATTAGACTTGACTAGATCACCAAATATGGATTGATCCACTACTGAAAATGGTCTGCAACAAATTAACTACTTTTGTCTGCTAAAAACTATGGTGTCTAGAAATTACTGAACCTTTTCTAAAGGTGTAGTTATATATAGGTTTGACAAATTTTTTAAAATGTATAACTTCAATAAGAATGAATGGGTTTGAGGCTGAGAGTCACAGACAGACAGACAGAAGCATTGATGGGGTTGAATCTTTTCACAGAATTTGTTTATAATAGCACATTTAAAAACATGGCTATCTTTATCCTTTAACGTGTCTAGAAATAGCAAAAGTAAAAAAAAGTAGCAAAAGGTATTTCTCATGTTATGTGGTAAAACAACTGTGTATTACTGTGAAATAACAGAACTAAAAGTAGGTTCCTTGGCCAGTCAGAAGTGTGTTTTCAGCAAGGCGCTATAAGAAAGGTGAAAGATGTGCATGTGTAAACAGTGCACAGCAATCAGGCTGGCCCAGTGAATGACAGACACTGACAAGTTAGAAGTTTTAACTTCACTGTTGGTGGAAAATGTCATATTATTAAAACAGATCACGCTGTAAAGTGTCTAAACTGAACATGCTTATTCAGTATCAGAACGTAGTTTAAGTAAATACAGATTCTGAGATGTTCTGCACACACACACACACACACACACACACACACACACACACACACACACACACACACACAGACACTCACATACTTTACATGTACAGATACACATTGTGTTGGGACCAGGTGCTGAACTGATAAAACCTTACACCTCCCACAGCAGACTCCTGAACCTAAACTCCCAATCTGTCACACTGTCTCTATTGACTACACTGCTGCTGGCTCGACCAAACAGGAAACAGGGTAAGTATGCGAGAGGGAGAGAATGTGAGAGAGAGCGTGGGTACAAGAGAGAAAGAGAAAAAACACTCATGAAAGATAATGCACCAAAAGCAGGAGGGGAGAGAGAGAGAGAGAGAGAGAGAGAGAGAGAGAGAGAGAGAGAGAGAGACAATGACATAGGGAGGGAGACAAGCCATTGCATCTCACCAGGTGAGGTCAAAGGTCTGCATCTTTGATGCTGAGCTTGGACTGAGCATCTTAGCTCGACGATGAGCGCTGGAAACAGTCACCATGACAACCCGACATAGAACAACTGCGTTGACCTGCAGGTAGAGGACAACAGCATCAACATGGCCTTCAGCAAACACAAGACATACTGCCACACATCCACTTGGCCTCAAGCTCACATGTAGAGGGGGGAACCGTTACCCTCTTGCTCAGGGTGTAGGAAATCACATCACAGTAAATAGCTTTCAGCCATGTACGGTGTTTCATCTATAATGGCTCCTGGGCTATCTGAGATAGAAAAACAGCATATAGAGGATATACTGTATAGAGGGGAAATGCAGACGCTCAGGCCTCATTTTGAAGCTTCCTACAGTGTTGTTTGATTTGAAGGATCTTTGGGATAATTCTAGTATTGTTACTCATCTAATTTGTCTCTGTGAATTGTTTTGTGAATAAACTCACTAATGCTCACCTTAAACATTTCTACTAACATCCACAGTGTGTACCGTATCTTTGAAGTATAGCAAAAAGGTTAAAAGCATTTCCTTTATCATAAAACATTTTTTTAATATGTGTTGAAACTTGTTTATATCCATGCTTGGATAGCCAGCAGTCTTCTTTTTATCTGCTTGTAGTCGACGGTTTCTTGGCATGCTACCATCACACCACCACTAATTGCAGATCATTGGAGTAGGTTCAAAAGGAAATCAGTCAGTGCTTGTGCAAGTGCAGGTGCGGATGCGAACACAAAGAGGACTCGCACATCAACACGTTGCTCAGTAATCATAGTGGTCAAGTAGACGTTTAGGTCAAACTGTCAAATAGTTCATTGGACGTTTTAACACAGAGTTCCACCTGCCACAGCATAAATTTACCATTGATCTTTATCAAACTGCAATTATTATTGGCCTTATGTTGCCTTGTCTTTTAAAAATCAGCTAATTTGAAAGATTTTATGTTACTTAATAAAGAGTTTAAAGTCTGTATAAAGGCAAAATGTCCTTGAAAATGCTAACATGGATAGTAAACATGACTGCATTACCCATAAAAAAGTTGCAAACAAATGTGTGGAGGTACAGCGGGCAGGTGATCTCACCCTCTCCTACACACACAGATTACATTACATTACCGCCAAGATAAACACAACAGGTCCCACAAATGCCCAGATTGTGTCAGTCTTCACGTTGAGCCAGCAGTGATCATCTGCCTTGTACTCGCCCACCGATACAGCCAATGTTACACCAACTATCAGAACAGGTAGTCCTGAAAAACAGTTCAATAAAAGAAAAAGGAGCATGTTTTATGGAACAGTGACTGCCACAGTGTGCACTGTTGTCTGTTCTGTTCTCTGGGTCTGTTTAGTCTGAAGAAGACTGTTCAGCACATACGCTTGAAGAGCTGAGAGGAACATCTGAATGTTAATGTTTGTGCTGCTTATCCACACTGTTTTCAGCTCGTTATGTGACATAACATACACTCACAGGTGGATTTGTGAACATGAACAGTAGCAGCTGCAGATAGTAAAAAAAGGTAAAGTTGCAGAATAGCTTAACATTACAAGACATTATGTTTGTTTACTGTAAGTGCTGATATAAGTTAACAATATTAAATCATCATTAGAACAATTTGAATAGCTCAGCAATAATTAGCATGAACAAACAAGTCTAAAAACATGTTTTACAGAAGTCTAGCCTGTAGTTAAGATGCTACTTGATGTTACTCAAGAACACAAAGGGATGCCAGACTAAGTAGGAAAGCGTAGGGAAAAAAAACAATATGAAACAAAACAAAAACTAGTTTGAGAGATTAAGATTCATGCTAGCAACTTATGGTGTACTTCCATCTCCCCAAAATTTTATTAAATGAGGAGGACCTAATGTGTCTTATGTGTTCAGATATAGCTTCACTGTGGTACACTCTAACGGTAAACAGCATGCCTGTCTCAAGAATGACACACCTAGAGACATAACCAGTTGCTGAAGTGTCTAGCAGCAGCCACTCAGACACACAGACGCAAAGTCACTGGATGCAAAAGGACACAAGATGGGTTTATGTTTGTTCACAGGGGTGAAAAAGTAAAAAAGCAAGCAACTTTATTTGAACAGGCATGATAAAGGGCAGCTAAAAGCATGGAGGGATGATAAATGAGAGCAGATTTAGGAAAGCAGTTCATAGTCCCTCAGGAGACAGCTCTCACTATGACCAGGTCTTATGCTGTGGTCAGAAGCAGAGCAGCCTCTGTGTTGTGGAGCTGACAGTACCATGGTGGGATGAAGTTAAAAGGGCCTGAGGGGAAAAAGCTTAGATATACAAAAGTGGCAGCAGAGGAGTGTGGTTGGAAAGCTAAGGTCCATCCAGTGGAGGTTGGCTGTAGAGGTTTTGTCCCTGTTAACTGAAGTGCGTATGACAGGACCAAGTCTAAAGCATGGCTGACACTGCAGCCAGTTCCAGTGAATGGCTGTGGGTTAGAAGAAAGCAGAGCGACTGGGGCAAAGATAGATAACTGCAGAACTAGTAGTGTGGATTCAAGAGGCTTTAAACTGATAAGTAAGAACATGTATTTTATGTTTTTATCTAAATACAAATGAAAGTTACTTTCGGCTTTTCCTGTTTAGGGGTCGCCACAGCGAATTGTCACACTGATGACTCACATGTTGACATGTGTTTTATGCCAGATGCCCTTCCTGACACAACCCCGATTCAAACCCAGGGTGCAGCGGCGAGAGTGCTGCGCCTTAACCACTAGCCTACCAGGGACGGCTTTTATCTAAATACAAATAAATAAATAGAAAACAAACAGGCAAAAATTGTAAGCGTTTGATGTAAAAACAAACAAATAATATTTGGGTATTATACAGTATTACATTTGTTATGCTGCATAAGTCAGCCATACAGTCCAGTCACAAAACATCAACCCCACCAAATTCAGATGCAGTAGAATTTTGCTCTCCATATTTTAGCTAATAAATACATTTTAATAATTATTTAATATGCTGAATCAACAGGAAGAAAAGCATAAATGTTTGACTTAAAAAATGAAAGCTGAGATCACATTGAGTTTATTGGTATACAGGTGATTTTTTTTTTTTCACCAAAACTCATTGTGTGTAAAACTGGCTTTTCTACTTAAATGTAGCTAGCCACTGTCTGTTTTTGAAATTTGGGTTCAGTCAAATCCTTTGGCCTCTCCTAACAGTGATGTAATAGGCAAAACTCCATGGTCTTCTTTGAACACTGATCCCCGCACATGTGATAGCAGCTGTTACACAATACAGTAAACACAATACACAGACCCACTGAGAACTGTGCTGTATTCAGATCTTAATAAAATATCTAGGGCTGGCAAACAGTAACATTTACTAAACAGCAGGGCTATGGCTATGCACTGACACTCCCCCACAGACACACATGCCTGAGAACTTCTCACTGTCATGCTGCTGGCTGAGCTACAACACATGTTAGCAGCAGTGAATCTCTCAATTGGACATAAATGTACTTCTAGTGACTGTCGAAGCTCCATAGAGAATAGATTAGTTGACAGTAGCTCCTCATAGCTGGTTAGCACTGGCATAGTCCATGCTGCAGTGAGTGGTGGCCAGTCAGTCTCCTCTTCCCTGACTCTCAGTTCATAGCTACACGGTCACCGTGCTTACCACCATTTTGTCGCCCTCTCCTCCTTTAAATATTCTGGGAAAGAGATTTCTAGTAGAATCTGGGGGTGTCGTTACTGTTTTACTCATCACCCTTGTTTTCTTGAGACTGCAACTTAATTATTTTGATATATCATGATAATGATTCTGAATTAATTATCTCATTATCATGAAACAACAAATCAAATGTGCTGAAATTACAATTTAGCTTGGTCAGTTTTAATCAGGATTAGCACCTGGTGTGAAAAAAGGTTTTATGCAGGATGCTAAAAATGTGAAAGCATGGCACAGATGCAAAATGTGCCTTTTTTAAAATCCCTACCTGTGCTTTACTAGCTTATATCAACATTATTTAACATATTGTGATAATGACACAAGGTTAGATAAGAGGTGCCTGAATAAAACAGCTGTAATGTAAAAATTACAAGTGAAAATAAAAATCTTGGCTTCACAATAATGTCTTCACTATAGAATTATAGTACTACACTTCTAAGTTTAGAACCAAGCATTTCCCCCCACTTTCTGCTGCTGGATAAGGTCAGTGGACAGTGTTTATAAATCCAAGACAAAGGTTTGTGTAACCAGGTCATAAATCATAGTCCAACTTGACATGCCACTCAAGAGAGATGAGAGCTTACCCCAGCCAATGATGTAATAAAGTTTCATCCTGCGGCCCTCACTGATGTTTACAGACACAACTTTGCTCCAGAGCAGCAGGCCTTCCACCAGCATCCAGGAGAAGGAGGCCATGAAGAAGAGGTGGAGTAGTGCAGTCACCATGAAGCATGCTGCCTGAGAGATTAACAATAAATCATATGTCTATTTTCAACTTAAGAAGTGAAATGGTAACTGTTCTCAACATAAGAAATGATGTTAATAACATGATTCGCCTCAGAACCTGTTGCTTTCAAAGTTGCCATTTTATATACAGTAGGCAACCTGCTAATGCATGAACAGTGGATGTATGTGTTGTATAATAATCCTCCAGCCATGTCTTGTGACTACATTAGACCATGGTATATTAGGGCTCCTGTCGTCAAACAAATGTGACTGTCTACAAGCACATTTTGTATTTTGTGAAGTATTAATGTAGAAAGAATTTTTGCTTTTAGCTATTTTGTAAGTATTTGACCTGACATGCTACAGATTCACAAACGTGTCATGTGTGGCGTCTCACCTCACTGGCTGTTGCCCAGTTACTGCACATCAGCAGCAGCTCAGCGACACCCAGAGCAACAATCAGGTTCTTATGGACGGTGGTTCGATCTGACTTAGGGACACTGCACCATACATGCACCAACCCATACATCCATGCATGCAAACAAATACAGCATTAAATATATGAGTGAAGATCTGACAGGATTTCTCTGGATTTTTCAAAAATATTTCACATATCTATAAAGCACAATGTTCTGTTTTTTTTTCATTTACTGATGTGAAACTGGCAGAGCTTTATGAAATGCTTTTCACCCTCAACGCTTTACAGAGTGCACTCTGTGACTTCTGTGTCTCACCCCACAGCGATGAAGAGGATGAAGGTGAAGAGGAGGCCACACAGAGACACTCCACAGCCGATGAACGTCAGCACCTGCAGAGCTTTTTCGTTCTCCGGGCTCCTCTGACAGACACACACACATACACAGAGCATGAGCTGTAAATAGCAGCACATCCTGTAGATAAAAGCATACACAAATACACAGGGACAACAAGAGAAAGGAATGTTACCTGGACTTCATAAACCTGCAGCAGCAATGCAAAATTGGTGGTGTGGTTGCAGTAGCAAACAGTGTATCCATGTTGTTTGGACACTACCTCACAGCCTTTGGTATTCCACCACCCACCAGCCTCTGGACTAGTTAGACACAAACACATACTTACACATCTACATACACATACTGTAAGAATGACAAGAATGAACATATTTTCCTATCTAAACATTTTGCAGCATTTATGACATTTTTAAAATTTGAAACAGGTAAGATAACTGTGGTATTACATGCCATACAGTCTGAGACCTCCAAATTGCCAATGCTTCTTCATAATTTTCAAGGGTACTTACGTGAGATCAAAATCCCAGAAGGCACACACTGGATCATACACAACACCAGTGGGATTCTGTAGGAATGATATGTAATTAAGAAGGAAATGGTGAAGATGACAATAGAACTTCCAAGAGTGCAATTTTAGAGATTTTTTCTAACCTGTATTCTGTGCTGGAGCTGGAAGCGAACTGCCATGCTAACCGGCTGGCCATCTCCCAGCACAGTGGTGGATATGACAGAGGAGCCCAAGACGGTTCCCAAATACCTGGGAATTTTACCTTGTATTAGCTGACAGTTGATTTCTTTTCAATTTCATATAAGTGTTATTTTCCTTACAATTATTAGGCAAAGATACCACTGACCTTTACTGACCAAATAGTATCTTGCTCATATCTTCAATAATACAAACCATCAATTTACCATAAGCTATGAAGTAATGTTGGCATTACTGTTGGAAAGAACTATGAGCAGACATACTGACTTGTCAAACACAGGTGCAGCTAATAAAGTCATGTATAGCGCCATGGCATTTATGTTACTTTGTTAGTGTCACAACTAATTTTGTTAGTTACACCTGTGCTTTGTCTGGTATGACATGAAGTAAGAAGGTGGATTAAACTCTCAGAATGTCAGTGGAGCCCTGTGACATACTGTTTATTTCTGGACAACAACAGAAATATAGGGTCAAAAGTATATTTATTCAGTTCCCTTGAGCCCACAAGTCATTTGCTTAATGTACTGCAACATCTGGTATAAAAACATGCTATACTCTGACCTGAAAAGAAAACAAAAAGCATCCATTTCCAGCTCCACATGTGCTTGTACACTACCTCTCGCTGCCGTCAGTGACTGTAGGAACCATGCTGATGTTCTCCTCCAGATTGAAAAGAGGCCGCAGAGAGCCGTACCATGTGCTGACCAACGTGAGCTTACAGAAGCCTGCACATTCAACACAACAGCTAGATAAAGCTTTCTTTAGCTTGCACTGGACAGCTAGAAAAAACAACACTGAAAGACATATCATTCATTTAGGGTTGCTTATTGCTCAATGTTAACAGCTATTGTAAAACCCATTTGCCCTTTATCGCAAGACCTTGACAGTGTAAGAAAGTGAATGCATGTATTTGTCTACCAAGTCTGTTAGCTCATTGTCCATTACACTCACTTCCAGCACTGAGGTGAATACAATGCGTTTTCTCTGCTATATGTCCTAGTGGAGGAAGATGATTGCTGCAGCATTTTCTCACCGTTCTTATGGAGCTCCTGTATCTTATGATGAGGGACTGAGATACAGTCTAGGTTGGCATTTTTCTCTGTGCCAGGCCCACAGAAGCTTGATCCTCTGGATTCTTCCTGTAGCCTCTGCTGCTGCACTTCCAGTTCTTCAAACCGCAGGACAACAAAAGCAAATGTACAATTATTAGTATTGCATATCCTCATCAATAAAACACATAATGATTAAAGAATATATGCATTCTTCTGCTGGATTGTACAAAGTCAGATTTTTTTTAATTTTTTTATTTATATTTAATTTAGTCTCAGGAATCTGTTTAAGATTTTTCTAAATTCCTCTGTACAATGAAGAAGCACGATTGAACATCTTAATAAGGAGAAAACTGAACATTTAGAAGTTCTTTGAATATTCATAATGCAAGAGGTAAGTTAAACAGTATGGTGCATTTCATTATTTTTAAAGTTTCTACAGCTTCTGCCCTACTCACTTTATATTAAGGGCATTGGTTATAATACAACATAATGCTCTGCCCTTTAAGTCACTCCAGTGCAACACCAAAACCAACTATGGGCTAAAACATTAACACAGATATGAAGCCAAAGTTATTTGAGAGAGGGTCAACAAAAGCTTACATTATGCAGGCGTAGCTAATAAGCTGCAACACTGTGCAGATCAGGGTTATTCAGTCCTGCCCTCTGACATAAACACAAACCTGAAAATGGATGCATGTAGTAGGCCAACTTTAATTTACCAAAATCCATTTATAAATATAGGCCAAACAAAATCAGATAACAGCCTACTTGTTTCATTTTCCTAATGAAAATTATATAGTTCATCACAAAATGTGATGTCAAAGCAAATTTTTTAGAGCTGTAGATGTACTGTATTAGTGTGTAGTGTTAAACACTGTTGATATAGTATTTTCTTTTTTTGAATCAATAACATTTTGAGAGTAGGCTGTGGCCTTACTGTAGCCTTACAAATGCACTCTCACACTGTGCTAGGAGAACGATGATTTCGGTTTGATTAACAAGTAAAATGCTCAGGTGGCAGTTTATAAGGTACGGTGCACCAAGCTCTGACTATGTCAGTGTGATCCAACAGTCCTGTATCTATTCTCCTTTGTGAAGGTGATAATGCTCAGTTTTTTTTTTTAACTGTTTCATTTAGGAGGCTGGAGTTTGTTCTCCTGTTGAACTGTAGTGCATCAAATAGAGAGCTGTTACTGTTATTTAGCTTAGCCTCACTGATACTAAAGGGGTGGGCAAAACAATAGAAACACCTGTCAGCATAACATAACCCAGTTCAGGAGAAGCACAAACTTCCAACATTATGACCTTCATGAGGAAGGACTAATTGCAGGACTGTTGGATTAGACAGGCTTAGTTTAAGGTTTATTGTAACCCTGTTTTTCAAAAACAAAAAACAAAAAGAAAAAAGAAAAAAGGTCCAACAGAACAACAACCAAGTCAGACAATTTTTTGACAGATTAACATTCTGTTTATTATGAAATGGTGCTGCTAGTCCCTCACTGCACAGAAAAATGGCCCATTCTCATCTATGCACCTGCCAACAGTAGGTCAGACCATGGGACGAACTACAAGGAAGCAAAGGGGACCTCAGCTCCCTTTAATAAGACATCAGCTTCCCTGGAAACATGATTTGTGAAATTTTGGGGGGCTCAGTCTAAAATATTGACATGAATTTCTTTTTTTCTGTAATTTATCACTATGGATCAGATGCATAATTAGGCTATTACGAATATATGATTCATGCATAAGCATGATTTATCACTAATTAGTTTTAATATTACTGGCATGAATGCCAGTAATGATTGCCATCATTATTGAAGCATGGTGGCACAATAAAGCTGTCTTTAATGCAAAGATCTGGAAAACAGACTTTCTTGATCTTGTCAATTGCCTTAAAACAAAACAGAAGAAGAAGAAGAAACATTCCCACTCATTCTGCATGTGAATCATCAGTTTTCATTTAGGCTACAGATCACAGGGTAATGCTATGACAAAAAGAAAATGAGGCAGCTTCAGTTTTGTTTTAAGTGTCACAATCTGTGGCACATGCAAGGGACTTGGCTTCCCTTCTCACTTTTGTAAAACAGAAAATAAAACAGGTAATTAATGAATGAACCATGAGACTCTGGAATATTCACTCAGGAGGCGCACATATTCACACAGGAATTACTTTTAACCAGTTTTTCTATTCTTATTGTTTGTATTTTTATCAATAGGAATAATGATAAATAAAGCTAAAAGTGGAAAAAAGTGAGCTCCCCTGAAAGACGTGTTACAGTTCACACACTGGTTCAAACCAGATATTCAGGCTGTAAACTGTGATGGATGTTTACAACAAACAGTTAAGGTAATAATTGTACTGGCATTAATTTTATTTTCTCTTCCTCAATTAAATGTGATTAATCTGTGGGTTTGTTCACAACCTGTCACATGATATGACTGCTCATGTTTCTTGTCCCATTGGATCTATTTTAGAAAAGTTACCACAGTTAGAAATCTCCTACAGCTACCTGGGGGAACACATTTTCATGGACCAAAGAACCAGTGGAGCAACAAAAGTAAAACCCAAGTTGAATTAAAACACATTTTTATTTTAAAAATGGAGATTTGTTTATTTAAGTATGTCTCTATAGCCTGAAATATTAATGACCATTTCTAACTGTCAAAGTTAAAGTCTGTATGGAAACATGATTAGTTATAATTTAATAAAGTTTAATAGTCAAAAACATCAGCCAATCAGCTATTCCAGGACTGTGTGGGTGTGGCTTGATCAGATTCAATTGGCAGTGATGGCAACAACAGTTTCTGATTTAAATATTATTCAAAATAGACTGTCGCATAAAAGTATCATTATCTCACGGTGCCCCACCCTCTACAAACCAGTGATAAAGGCACACAGACAAAAATCTCTCAGGTGAAACAACCAAAACTGTTATAACACTGGCAGAAATTGTTCATGGGTGACCCCAATCACAATTTTTTAGGAAAGAAGGAAAAAAATGTTCAAGCCTTTTGCCCAGAGACAAATCTTGATATTAGTCTGCTCACCTTAACCAAAGTGAGACTGTGTTCAACAAAACACTACAATATCCCAGGATGCACCGGATGGACACACAGGTCTGTTAGAGTTACTGTATAGAGGGCTGTCAAGTGAAGTGGCTTTCCGTTCGATGGACATTTCTTAGGACACGAGTTTTAAGCTTGAGCTCATCAGAACTAAAAATGCACACTTTAGGTCTATAGCAGTTTTTGTCTGGCAGCTGATTATTTCATCTACGGAGGAACTTGTAGAAACACTGTTTGATTATTGGTAAATATGATCTCTTTGTGTCTGAGACTTACTGATATTGGGGCTGTGAATAGTCAGGTAATCGGTCTCTGCCATCAAGCGAGGGCTCAGGCTGGTCACCATCTGGTCAATACTCTTGACCACATCCATGGGGCCGTTCACCACCTAAAACATACAGATGCACTGGCATCTCAGCAGCAGCAACACTCATCCAGTTGGCTCAGCACAGTTGTCAAAGCTACCTTTCAAACTGACCATTCATATGGCACACAACGAGAATGTTTTCAGCACAGTTAACTGTTGGCTAGAATCTTTGCCTGAAAAGGGTATACACAGTTCAATAGATAGGCCTACAGTAGTATACTGCATTGTAAATAGTGGATTTTGCCATTGTCTGTATTGAAACCCCTCATTCTGAATTCTGAATTCTGTATGCCCATCTAAGTGCTGAGCCTTGGAGACAGAGCTCGGAGCAGAATGAGGGAGGTGTGTGGATGAGTACAGCCACAGTCTGTCAAAGTGCTGCTCATTCATTGGGTCTGGGCTGAGGTGGCCTTGGAGCACTGAGAGGCCTGGGGGGGCGGGAAAGGAGGCAACCGTTGAGTGAAACACAACACTCACAAGGCAACCTCCACACAGATTCATACACTCGACACTCATCAATAGTGCCGAGGCAGCAGTGACAGAAAAGGACTTGATAATAGAATATAGAGAGAAGTACAGTTTTTGAATCCTGTTTTTGTTCAGAAATACAAAATGTTAAAATTGATGATTGGATCATTGAGCTGTTTTGATCAGCACATATGGAGGCAGGTATGATGTTTGTCAACTCTGTTCTAATACTTTTGTGGTTACTACATCATTCCACTGTAGATGATCTCTTATAACAGTATCAGTAGAAACATGCTGCCCTCTAGTGGTGTAGAGCTGAAATATCATCTATCTATCTACGGTATCTATCTATCTATCTATCTACTGTATCTATCTATCTGTCTACTGTATCTATCCATCTATGTGCCAGCCACCGCTGAGCAGATGGAACTATCTACATGATAAGGCATGGTACAACATGGTACAGTTTTCAAAGATTTTCTCATGGTCACCACAACAGCAGTGAATGTGGACTAAACTTCGGAAAACCTTTCATTTTTTGACAATAATAAACACAATGTTCAAATTTTATGGATTCTCTTCTTATTCATATTCAACCACCAAAAATCTGTGTATTAGATTTCAGTTACCTACAATATGCTACATCTTTCAAATCACAAAAAGTTTTTTTTTCTTGGGAAGGTGGAAAGTTTATAGCCACCATCCACATGATGGATTGACTCTTCTGGATGTCTGAACATTTTTGCAGAGGATTGCCAGGCATAGGTCGGGAACACAAAGATTCTTTCCCAGATGTATTGCAAGAGAGAACATGAGAAGACAGGGATGACTTGCACGATTACCTTGACAATTTCAAAATCTAGTCCTTTATTTAATTTTTTTGTCCAAAGTCTCTTCTTTAAACTAAATTTGAACTAGAAAACCATTTAATGCAATGACGCTGTCAAGGCTGAACAATACATCGCGCTGTATGCCTTTAGGAGACCTATATTTAAAACATCTTGATATTCCATTAGTGTCTTCCAGAAGTGGCCTAGATGATTTCCTTTGCTCATCTATGACATGCCACACCAGATGTAGATACCATGAGCACAAACTGCGCAGATTTGCAAACTCTTTATGCACAGAGGAGCCCCACATGTACCAGTGCTACAGGAAAAGTTAGAAAGTACAATATATATACAACCTCTTTGATGGCCTGCCACTTGAGGGCATTGTCTTCACCGATGATGTTGTCAGCCACACTAATGAAGTCCTGGCTGAACTCCTGGATGCTGTCCTGGCTGTGGTTTTTGGGATCAGAAAGCAGCAGTGTGGGGATGTCAGCAGCCAGCGATAGCAGCTGGATGAGGGACACCATGTCTGTTGGCTGCAGTCCATCTTGCTGGGTGTCCTCCAAGGCCTGGACAGAGACGTCTAGCAGGGTGGACACCTGTGCCAGGCTGCTCAGCTCTGATGGTTGCTGCCCCAGCACTGACTGGGAGCAGAGACAGACACTGGGTTCAACATAATCCTCCTCTTCATTTGTATTTATTTTTTAACAAACATGACGGTTACTGGAATGTAATAGAGTGTTTCACAGGACTCCATGGAAAGCCAACCAGAGTGCTCCAGCTCTTTTATTATGGATCTCATTTAATTTATTCAACTACATATTTGTCATCAGTAGTGCTGGTGAGCTGTTACTTTGAACAGACTACCACAATTATTTTACTGTAAAGGATAATGTTGGTGATTTTCTGTACACGTGCACAGCTGGTTCTTTCTTACTTCAGAAAGAGTAAAAGTGATGGCTGTTCTTAGTCTTTTTTTTTTTTAAATAAGTAGCCCACATATTTGTTTGGAAGATGCATGTCACCCAATGCAGTGGTGTGGCTCATTGCTGTGTCTTTAACAGTTTTTGGACAGCAGTGGAGCTCTATGGCACAGATAAATAAACTGAAGTAGGTTCTGGATTCACAGACACTACAGTGTTCATTTTAGTCTCTGGATGTGATTTGTGGAAAATAAACAAAAACAGAGCAAATCACCAGTCTTATCCTTTAAGAGGTAAACAAAGTTTCAAAATTAAATGTACTGTAATTGTACACTATGAAAACAATGAAATATAGCATTTTCTCTGGCTAAACTGAGAATGTGACTTGGACTGGGCTCAAGTGTTAGGCGTGGTTTACAGGAAATCATCTGACAGCAAAAGCCTCGCAAGATGGAGAGTTTAAATTTGTGAAATCTAAAGAAGCACTAGGAGGGGAAGCCCTAATAAATATATATACGAGTTGTCTGCTGTACCTGGGTCTTGTTGGAAAGCTTCATCAGCTGGTCCATAAAGGCAGTAGGCTGAGAGCTTTGAGACTCACTCATCTGCTTTATCTTGAGGTAACGCTCTGCACCAAAAACAACATGATGTCAGGGTGGAAGATGTAATGACATTGCCCTTGAATTATATGCATAGCCCATTGTCTTTCGTCAAGACGTGTTATTAAATCAGTTATTATATAAGTGGCTATTAAAGAAGAGAGATGTAATATAAACATGTTTGGTTTTGTCTAAATAATTCAAATACTTTCTACATCATAACGTATTACCCTAGTAGATCACAATCTATGAGTATGAGTCTCACCTCTGCTGCTCCTGCAGATGAACGGCAGTCGATCAGCGCAGTCTGTCAGGTTGACCACCAGGGGCTGATCTGACCAGCTCTGTAGTGACCTGCAGCCCTGCTGCTCCGTCCGCTGGTGCACTACTGCCCACACGTTCATATGATCACAGTCATACACAAAGGGACACACAAGACAAGACTCAGCATGAGTATGTTTAAAGGTCTTCACTTGTAAAAATTAGAATAGTGGTAAATATATGTACAATATTAGATTTGATTCAACAGAACCATGACATTCAGGAAGATCAAGGAGCATTGACAGTCAACAGCAAATTCAGGAATCATATATTTCATAAAAAGACATTATTGTAAAAAAAAAAACTGACTGCATTGATTGTTTAGAAGGGGATGAAACTTGTTCAGTGAAGTGTTTTTCCTTAGTCTTCCCCCACAGTATGGGAGCTTAGGGAATCCCCTCTATCCATGCTGCCCTCCCTCCCTCTGCTTCACTGTCTCACTTTTGTCACCATTCATATCCTGCTCAGTCATCACAGTGTCTTTCTAGAAGTGTCTCTGTCTCTGGCTGTTCACTATCTCACTGTCTAGGTGCACAGGCCTCTTTAGGCAGAAATTCTTCTAAATAACTATGACACTAGGACACAGGCAGCGTAGAGCAACTTGTGAATAAATAATGTTGTTCTTACTGATATGGCATCAGGCATGAGGATGTGTGTTGGAACACAACAAGTAGGAGTAAATAAGAAAGGAGTGGAAGCTGCCCCACAGAGAATTGTATGAATGAAAATCAATGCTAAAATATGGACATGTAAGGAGAATACAAGCATAATAAAATATGAAGAAAACAGGTATAGAATACACACATTTCCATATTAATATGTAGAACGGGTGGTCAATGTGAAAAAAATACAGCATGTACTGTACAGTATATATGATGAATGACTGATGTATGACGAGGAGGCTTTTCATTGTAAACCCAGGTCTGTGAGGCCACAGTAAAATTTTGTTTTTCTTAAATATTAAGAAAGTATTTGCTACAGAGCACTTTCTAATAGTTTTTACTGCCCACTTTGACATGAACAAAACTCACACAAACTCACAACTAGCTCGTTGAAACAGATAGCTTTGGTAAACTTACTCTTCTTCAAGTTGGACGTTGTGGTGGAATTTAAATATATGTCTTCATATTTTGGATAAGTAAGACATTCAGACAGCATGAGCCTCATTCAAAGTTGCAATAAATTAACCTTCACAAAGATAAGGTACTTACATGAGACAAATTCTTAAATTCCCACTTCTTTCATATTCCACACCCCTAGTTTGTAATGCGAGTGTTCAAGCTCAAGACAAGAAAACGCCACCATCACCACTGGTTTACAAGCTGCTGGTCACCTAACAACTCATCCTTCTTGGCCCTTTAGACTTGACTGCAGCATTGTTAGTGTGTTCCCAAATTCCAGCCATAGCTACGCTGAGCAAAAGCTTATTACAACCAGTAGAAATGTAGGGCAAAATGTGGCCTGCAGAGGACTAAAGACTAACCATGGACTTTACTTAGTATTCAGATGATTCACCTCTTCAGATTATCCTGCCACCAACCATATGGACACAGCAGTTATATCAACATCAAACACAGGAAGACTGTGTTTATTAGATGCATCTGGTGGAGCCTTTTTTTTAGATGATCCCATAATGAAATAACTTGAAAGCGACAGGTCCTGAAATGAGACTCAAAATATATAGAACATGATCCTACCTGGGCAAACCAGAACAGCCCGCATCTCTTTGACCACTGGGTGGCTGCTAAGCTGGTTTAAGTTCCAACTGAAAATCATTTCCTGGGTCATGGGTGAACATGCAGTGAGGGCACTGATGTGCCTTGCCTCCAGAGACATATTCCAAACATTCAGGTCAGTGATATTTCCACAAAAAGGCTCGGTAAAATTCCCTCCAAAGGAGTCTTGGTCCTGACCCAGAATGAGTATTCCATCTCCATGAATATCCTTGGAAGTGTCTGTATCTAAGCCCATGTCCTTTTTGTCCCCATCTACATAAATAGCCCAGTGGCCACTGCTGCGGCGCCATGTGACACAGATGTGATGCCACGCTCCATCATTGGGAAACGAGGCCTTATATGGCAGGTGCTTCCCACGGATGATGAGCGCCAGAAGGACACGTCTCTGCACATCCATTTGGCCTCGTAGCTGGAACTCATTGGTGAAGACAGGTGCAGCATAGGAGAAGATGGTGGACACTTCATTCCACTCTGGGTGCCACTGAACTCGAACACACACACTAACAGACGACAGGGTAGGGAAGGATATGTTGACACGAGCAAAGCCTTCATGGGTTTCCTTTGGGAAGTTTAGAGCTGAGAACTGTTTATCTAAATAAAAGCACAAGAACAAACGTTAAATTATACATTTTAGTTTTGTAGTTCTTTACAATCTTCATTAGGTTCACTGTTTTCACTCACACTTCTTGGTGAGGGCCACAGACTTTGAGGCTGCTTTGCTTGGGTCCCTGACCCAGATAGGTGAACGAAGTCCACTGTGCTGAAGCAGCTCCAAGGCTCCGTCTCGGTCATCTGACTGGTCCAGGGTGGCGAGGGAGCTGAACTGGCCTCTGCAGAAGCTGTCAGCCCTGGAATAGGAAACTGAGTTATTGACCAGCTGGAAGGCCCGGTTGGATGTTAAATGGACCAGTCTGTATTGTCCTGGGGAGTCAGACGCAGAAAACACAAAGCATTATGAATAAAAATCTATCTATCTATCTATACTGTATATAATGTATATAGATAGCTATATAGAGTAACTATAGATATATGCATGTGTGTGTGTTTGTGTAATGATTTTTGGATGAATTTTGTGAACAGTGAAGTACTAGGAATTGAAACTACTAGCCACTATATGGGCACTAAAAGGTTTTCTGCAGTATCTCACCATGTGAGTCCCCCACTCTGTCAGGCTCAGCATGTGTTGGCTCACTCTCACATACCACCTACAAGAGAAAAAGTCTGATTTACTGTGTTACTTTAACAACTGTTGAGCAACACTTGCTTGTATGTTTAATACTGTATAAGCAGCATCCAAAAATTTGAGTTTATCTGCACTTTAAAAATAGATATGTGTTTTTGAGAACAAACATCATCAGTGGTCCAGAATATCTGTGTAACCTAATGCACATTTAAAGAAGTTACAGACAGTTCGTATGGCTCTTGTTACAGTATGTTGTTTAGAATGAGAAGGTTGTTACCACAAATAACAAGAGTATCAGTCCAGTGTGCAGAGCTCCAGTCATCTCTAAGCCAGTGTAGTCTCCAGCTGAAATAACCACTCAGCTTACTTAGAAATTAATAGTTTCCACTGGATCCAGATTTGCTTCTCTTTAGAAATAGGTCTGTATCTCTGTCAGGTCACCAAGTAACTACAACACCGTATTGATTAGAGCTGTTTGAGCCAATAGCAGCTAAGATGCTACTTTAAGTATTGTATGGCAATTATAGTGTGCCAGTCATCCACAGGTAGTTTTCAGTGTGTGTCCTGATTCATTGTTGCTCTCAAGTCAGCTGTAGAATTCACATTTTCCTCCAAAGCAGCAGAAATGCTTTCGGAATAAGCTGGGAATAAATTCTTCATGTGCAGAACAATGGAACCCAAATCCAGTCCAGACTCGTCATCCAGTACTTCAGCCACAACATTCAGCATATCCAGCAGTTTCTGGTCTCCTGACTGTGAGAGAGCCAGCAATCCCAGTGTGTCTGTCCAGCAGTCTCAGTCTCTTTTGCCTCCCTTCAGACCCCCCCACCCCTCACTCTTTAGCACCCTGAAGCCTGTCTTTGTCATGCAAATAGAGTCATTTTTTTTAAAGAACCCTACTTACGCAAGCAGTGTCCAGCATTCAACAAGAGCAGCAGGGCAGCAGACATTTTTACCACGCAGCCCTTATTTATGCCTTCTATAAGGCTTTCTAAAGTTAATTAGAACATTTGTTTTGTTGCTGTGTTTCATAGTCAATAAAAGGTTAGTACTACTCATGTAATCACTGTACAGTAAAAGAAAGTTAGTCTCTTTAGATGGCTTTCATTTAGTGGTTATGTGCAAAGTGGTTAAAGGTTTCTGTATGCCTTGACATCAAATACGTCTGCTTTCATAATCTGCAGTAGGCACGTTACTTTTCATGGTCATTTACAGATTAACAGTCTGATGATTAATTTATTGTATGGGTCACAAAAAGTAGCTAAAATGGGACTAACATACACCTAAGGTACAAACAAATCATCCATTCACTTAACTCACTCTTAATTAGTGACACATATTGCCAGTTGTTTTTTTGTTGTTGTTTTTTTTTGTCTTGTTTATGATTTGTCTTATTAAAACAGTCTCACACAGCCTGCCATATAGTATACTATTTTTTGAGAGTTGGAAACACATATTCACATTTCTGAGACGGTCATAAAGCCTGACAACACTACTTACTTCATAGATAACAGATTAAAAAGAATCTCTGGTGTTCTATGTTCTTTCTGTTATGATGAAGGAGCTGTTTTTATGGAAAAATGGCAAACTCTGATACTAATTTAACAAACTTACTTATGTGATGATGCAGGCTATTTACATTATTATAGTAAAAACCTGCACCCTTATTATTTACGATAACAAGCGAACAAACACTAAACTCTGATTTTGACGCTTTTACTTTTCACCCAACTATGTGATATAATGTATAGAAAAATGTTGTATTTGCACATGACCATCATCAGACAACTTATTCTGTTGTGATATCATGTATAAACACAGAATAAAATGTAGTAATTTATATATACATACATATATATATAACTGTTTTTTTTAATAAAGGTCACATATATTAATCAAATGTAGGCACAACATGCATAAGGTATATCCAGTTTATTTTGAAACAAAGTACCAGATAAATTAAAAATAATTAAAGTATACTTTGTTAGCATGTTTTGAAAGTTTTTTTTAATGCCTACTTATGTAAGCAGTGTGTAAGACAGTTATTAACACTAAATTATTAATATTCCAACAAGCACTAAAAGTTATATTATGTTCATGAAATGACCGGACAAGGAATCAGGAGCACTAACCACAGGCTAACAGGCTAAAAGCATTGAGTCTACTATGACCATGTGCACAAGCCAAGTAGGCAGGCGAGGTTGAGAGCTTTTGTCATGAAGGCAGTACACACTTTACCGGTGTAACTTTGATTTGAATGAAACTCAAAAGACAAGATCACTTTTGGCCAGCACACATCTGTAAAAACAGCAGCACAGAGAGGAGACAGTAGTTTTAGACAGCACACTGGTCAGTTCGATGGAGATGATGAAAGTACCAACACTGTGGTACTTGTAAATTTTTATGGGAATTGTGCCATGGACTTACAATAGCAAATCATGAAGGTTTTAA